ATACACACACACACACACACACACACACACACACACACACACACTAGAATATTACTCAGCCTTAAGGAAGAACGAAATTATGGCATTTTCTGGTATATAGATGGAGCTAAGCTCCATCTGGAGAAATCATGGCGTTTGCTGGTATATAGATGGAGCTAAGTGAAATAAGCCAATTCCAAAACAAACAAACAAACAAACAAACAAACAAACAAAAAAACCAACAACAACTACAAAAAAAACAAAGGCTGAATATTTTCTCTGATATGTGGATGATAATTCACAATAAGTGGGTGCTAGGGAAAAATAGAGGAACTTTAGATTAGAGGGGAAAGAAGGGAGGGGAGGGGGTGTAGGAGTAGGAAGGATAGTAGAAGGAATCAGACATTAATAGCCTATGATTACACAACTGGTGTGATTCTACATCATGTACAACCAGAAGAATGAGAAGTTATACTCCATCTATGTATGATATGTCAAGATGCATTCTACTGTCATGTATAACTAATTAAAACAACAACAAAAAAGACATGGTCTCTTTAGTACTACATTTAAAAGTTTCATAATTTATGTATTTCAATGCTGTTTTTTAAAATATTTATGCTTTCAACAATTATTTACTGGCCACCTTTTAGAAGGTAGTGGTGTGTTGGACTAGGGGACACAAAAGTGAAGCAAATAATCCCTGTTCCTCTCTCTGAAGTCTACATTCTACAGGAGAACCAGTATACCATACCATGGCAGGAATCCATGTGCAAGTGCATGTAGCCTGGGCTCTTGGGACAGAGCATAGTCAGAACATGTGTCTGTGACAAGCTGCCCTCTAGGGTTCAAGTAAATCCTGAGCAAGTGACATCTGATCTCAATTTCAAGAATTCATGTGTATATTATCTGGGATGAGATATAAAGGGGTAGTTTATCCTGTGCTATATTATTTTGACTTTTAAGTAATGAACTTTTATTATCTTAATGAGCTATCATATTCAGAAATTCATAGCTCTAGCAATAATATAACACAAAGATAAACTACCCCCTCATGTGTCATTCCAAATAATATACAGATGAACTCTTAAAATTGGGATCATCTACTTAGCTAGCACATAAATAAAATATTATTATTTAAAGTTTTATACTAGAAGCCTGGAAGCACAGAGTACCCAAATTACTTGCCAAGGAGACTCAAGCATTTTGTTTTCTTTTTCTATTATGCAATGAATCAGGAGTTCCTAGTTCATATGGTTGGTAGAGGAGTAAATTAAATTAAATTATTTAAGATAAGTGTTGGTCTTTCAAGTGTGCACAAATGGGTTCTCTTGTTTAGTTCTATTTTCCCTCTTTCTATGTGGATGAAATTGAAAAATATATAAAGCAGCAATGAACAATTTGAAGTTAGGATGATAACAATGGAAGAAAATGGTCTTTGTTCATCTCTAAAGCCTGCATAAAGTCTTCTTCATCAAGAGTTATCAACTGGAGAACGATTGCATAATAGTCTTCCTTTAATAATTTTAAATTTGTTAATTTGTCCCAGAATTTCTTTATAGAACTCTCCAAAATTCTTCTCTTTGGAATCTAAAAATCCCCCAAATCGTTATAGACTTTATACTGGTCAGAAACATTATAAACAGTTCTGGAGAATTTACTCAGTGGCCCTTCCAAATCCTTAGTCTGGCTCTGAGGTACCTAGTGAAAATGTGAGCCTTTCTCCACATCTGTTATGTGGAAAAACCATCTGCTTCATCCTATATTTATTTCAACATAAATGACCATTGTGAAGGCCCATGTTGAGTTTCAGTACCACACGTGACTTGGGTAGGCATGGGTTTACAGACATATTTATTATATGTTTTATTTAAAAATATTTATTTCTAACAGTTGTTCTCTTTATTTTTATTGTATTATGTCAAACATGGAGTATAGTGTCATCTCCTGCATATTCTCTTGAAACCTGTAATTGGTAGTGACAAGGATAAGGATGAATCATTCAATTGAAGAGGCCCAGATATAGCAGTTATGGATGTTGCTTCACCAAACCAGTAACATTTCATACCTTAGAGTGATGTAGAACATTCTGCTTGTCAGTGGTTTGTTACTATTTCTGGTCAGAACAAAAAAGTCTTCTTCAATGAGAGATCTGCAAACCACTGATCCTGTAGACAGATCCTCCATGTGAGACACAGGTATATCTTTGGTTCATGCCATGAACATCACTATCGATTTACCATTGCAACTGACATTCAAATAAAATCAGACAAACTCACTGATAAGAGACTTAACATGTTAGTGGTATTGTTTCCAAGTTCCTTTCCCTGTAGAAAGGTCCAGACATGTTAAAATACATTGGCTGTGGAATACATACGAGACTATTTACACTTGATTTTTTTTTTTGGCCTTCAAAATGACAATTTTCGGGTGTTGAACTGAAT